AAAGCAGAAAATACTCGACGCGGATGAACGAAGTCGAATAAGGCAATTAATACATTATGATGGGAACCGTCGAATCCGTGACTACAATCTTTACTCCAGAAACTAAAGCAGACCTCTTTCTCTCTCAATCTGCCATAGTGAATAATGGATTGTCTATGTTAATAAATGATGGTGCAAAGTTTTAACATGATTTGAGATTGCGTGTGGGAGAAATAACGTGTTTAAACTTTTTGTCAGACGGGCAGAATGAGTTGATATAAGCTTTTTAAAAAAGTTAGGGTTTGAAAGGGTCCGAAGGAAGGTTATAAAAAATAAATAATTGTAATCGGCTTTTCGAATTCTGGATTGTATTCTAATTTCATCTATCAATTAAAGGGAAAGAGTTTACATATTTCGTTAGTCGAGAATAAGCTTTAAACAATTAATAGAGGTCTTTATACGAAGTTTATAACGGACATTAAAAAAAAAATCAAGTAAAGTAACACAAACCCAGATTTAAAAACACCGTATATGAATATGAACAGTTGTTCTCCGAAATGTCCATAAGCGTGTCACGAGATTATAAACCAAAAGTGTAAATAAACACACAATACACAATTCTTATCTACTGTGTTTGTTCGTAACAGACACCAATCATGACTAAGCCTACTGCATTAGGTCATTCTGTCAGTTTGTCTAATCCACATTGTAAACACTATTATTAGCTAGAATTCCGCTAATCAATGACAACATGTGATTTTTTTTATTAAAGTTAATCAGTTAGTTGTAATAAATAAATTGTGTTATATGTCAAATGAACTAAGCAAAGAGAAGTCAAGATTTGTGTAGAGAATTAGGGCGTTCGCTAACTAACTATAAAACCTTCACACACTTATGCCTTCCAACCCCTAGTTCACACCTTGCGATCTATAAGGCAGATGATGTAAAGACCATCTGTTTCTTTGGCCCAAGGTTAACGAGAATATTATGTGACCAGCACAACGACTCAGAGGCACCCTAAAAATGTAAAATAAAAAATCCCAGTTTCCCTAGGATTCTTCATCCGGGATCCCAGTTTGGAAGCCAAGCGCTTTACTACTAGGCCATCTCACCTGCTTGAGACTTAATCATCTTCTTTTGTAAAAAAAAAATGCCTTCTTCTCTCACTGGTCCACAAAAGTGATGGGACCATAGCACAATGGCCAAGCTATAAGCATGAAAGTTAGACTAAACAAATACAATGACTAACTCTAGGAGTACATATTTATTCTTCTTATACTATCTACTAAAATAATGAAAATAATTACATGAGTGATTCAAATATATTGATTCAAATACAATGAAAAAAGTATTAAAAAAACTGTATATATATATATATATATTTATAGCTTTTTAAAAGATTAAGTTTTGTAGTGCTACGTATCATAAATCATGATCTGAAAGTCTCTTTACTAATGAAGATTCGTATATATACATGGCGGATAAACTATAAATAGCAAGCTTTTTTGTGTATCCGGTGTACAAAATGAAGGGAGTGCCGATAAAGTACGCCTTTTCAATGCTATGCTCTAATGTTTGAGCACTTTTTAGCACCACACTATCAAATGTTTCTAGATCTTTCATTTTAAACACACAATAAACTCGTTTTGGAGGAATCATTTGACTTTCAAACCACGACAGTGACACAGCTTTAAACATATTAAAAAACCAATGGGTTACTAACTAGCTGTATTAAACTAGAGTTGATACGGAGATATTTTAGGAGATTAAAGTTTAGTTTAATAATGTTATCAATAAATTAGAATTAGACCTAGATCTATGCTGATCGTAGTTCGTGATTATCATTAACAATTTGTTTTTTTTAAATGACGTCAACAATTAATGTTATTTAGCTACAATAATAGTTCTGATCTCACTTAGATATGGCATTAGACTTATCTGACTAAAATACCATTAGATTAAAAAATTATATGTAGCGATTTTTTTTTATTACATGAATAAAGCCTGACATTTTCTGGCTTATAAAATATATTTGAAACACGATGTGTATTATAGAATTATAGGTTAGTGCGTTCATAAAAAAAAACACTTAGAATTTTAGAAATGGTCTTTCTTATTTAGTTAGTAACATTACAGGGTCAATTTAGCGTCCTTAACATTTTTAGATTAACGTAAAAATCTCCAATATATATATTTATTTATTTATTTATCTATTTATTTGAGTTTAAAACACCTACCAGGGTGTTTTGAGTTTAAAACCCCCTACCGGGAGGGGTACTTTAAAACCCCCTACCAGGGGGTTTTATGTTTAAAACCCCTACCAGGGGTTTTTGCAGTTAAATCCCCCTTTTCTATAAATTCAAAACACAAAATGCCAGCGACAATCCCCAAATTCCAAGAGCACAGTTAAGGAAGATTTTGATTTTAAAACCCCCTCCAAAAATTACGATAGACCCCCTCTTCAATATGAAAAAAAAGCAAATTATGCACTCAAAATTTTATGAGAGTAGCTAAATAGGTTTTGATTCAGTTTTAAGTTTAAAATACCGTCCAATAGAGTTTGAAGCTAAAAAATACATCTTCAATAAAAAAAAAAAAAGCAAATTACACACTCTAAAATCTATGAGCGTAGAAAAAGGGTTATGAGTTTAAACCCCCCGCCAGCGGGGTTGGAAGCTAAAAAATACCTCTTCAATATGAAAAAAAGCAAATTATACAAAAATTATTAGAACGTAACCAAGCCAATTGGGGGTTTTGAGTTTAAACTCCTCTCCTCCAGATGGTTTTGAGTTTAAAATCCCCCTACAAAGCGTTTTGAGGTGGGAAAACCTATCTTCAATATTATTCGAAAGCAAACTACAGTTACCAAATTCTATGATGTAGCTAAATGGGATTTTGAATTAAAAAACAAAAACAAAGTCCTGAGATTTTTTAGTTTAAAACCCCCAACAGATAATTTTGACGATAAAACTTGCCTTTTCGATATAAAATCTAAAGCAAACTACAGTCATTTAATTACAAGAGCGTATTCAAGAGAGGTTACACATTTCTACCAGTGGCGGGGCTTTATTAATAAAGTGCAGTGAATAGTCATCTGCCAAAATTGAAAAACACTAAATGTGACTCAACAAAGATGGCTAAGACAGATTTTAGGAGTCAGTTATAGAGATCGGGTCTAAATCAAGAAAATCCCATATCGAACTGGGAGTCGACACTTTAGTAAGATTGTGACAGAGCGTCGCATGAGGTCTGCGGGACATGTTCTCCGACAAAATGAATTACGCATAATAAGAGTTGCGATGACATCCTAGTACAACTTGGCGCCACACATTCATGGAGGTCCTCAGAGCAGGTAGGAAGAGGCTTCAGACATTACTAGTGACAAATTTTTGTAAAAACAGCTTGACGGCAAATGAGCCGAACGGAGCGGGAGGGTCTAAGTCAGTAAGATTAGCACATTAGGTCTTGAAATAAAACTTTTTAATAGCAGGGAAATGCACAGTAGATACCCCAGAATATGCATTTTGTTGGCTTTCAATACCAGAAATAGTGCTTGGCTGCTAGCAATCCCTCAGACCATTTTGCTTGCAATGGCGAGGAGTCTACAATTTCTCCACTAACTCCAGGAAGAACCTATTCTAGGGCACAATAAACGTAGTCCGAAAGAATAAAGGGCCAGAATGTAATAAAGATTATAAACACACAAACATTTACATACATAACAAAAAAAAATTTCCGCAGAGGGGGGAAGAAGAAATCCCTCCCCCAAACCCCCTCACCCGAAAAAAATCCTGGCTACGCCCATGATATATATATATGTTTGATTGTTAATCTTTCATTTATTATTACACTCTTTAAAGTGTCTTGCTTTATCAGAGCTCAAGTTGTCAAGTTCTTCATTTAGCCATATTGTTTTGTCATGGTTTATAGAGAGTCAACGAAAGGAAGAAGCAATAACAGACAATGTATTTATTTGCAGCTATAAACAGATAGCTAGTAATGGACTTCAGCTATCAAGTCAAAGGACTCTACAAGTCCTACTTAACACTAGAACAGACCACCGACACACTTCTGTTTCGCTCAAGGTCCTCCATTAGAAATTATCATGTAGAGTTGTGCAACAGCACGTGGATCTCTAAGGCCAGCAAATGCGAACAAGAGCTCCCTTATATATATCTAACATATTAAACAAACACACCAAGGCACAATTCAGCACACGACATTGATGGGTTATTGATAAAGTGAGACATCTCTGAACTTTAAAGAAATATGGCAGTTGGATATGAAGTTGTGAGCCATGTTAAATATTATATAATTGTGATAATTAACTGTGTGCTTTAGCTGCTATAAAATCTGTGTTATTGTTATACTTCTCATTGAGTTTCTTCTCTAAGAATTGTCATTGTGGTGTTTGGAAGTGGGATATCTGGCGGCTCAATGTAAGATAAGATAATAAACTGATTTTCCTGCTTCCAATAGTCAACACTGAGAAAAAATGAGCCGGCTGCTCTTATGCAGTAAGCAGCATACAGTGCTTCACCCTAAGAGACACCAAACTGTATCGGCACTTGCCGTTCCTTTGGATAAATCAGCTGTATGAAGTAAGGTGAACTGCTGTGTGGGCGACATCGTACAGAGGGCATTAAAGTGCAAAGAAAAACAAAGTTTATTAAAGAATTGAATTTTATTGTAAATTTGTATTGTTCTTTTTTAATTAAATTTTTTTTATAATAATAAAATTCTGCATGAAATTTTAATACTTTAAAATATTTTAAATAAAGATAACCTCATTCAAATAAACAGGCTAAAAATATTTAGTACCAACATATTAAAAATGCAGTAGACATACATGTAGGAAACCGTGCTGGACCAAAGTAAAAACAAACGACATTTAGTCCACCAAGCCTTCAATTGTATTTTTCTTTTGTTTGTTGCTGATGAAGGCCTCGTGGCCCAAACGTTTTTTTACTTCGGTTCAGCAGGGTTTACTAATTTTATATATTTTGTATTTATTATACAGTTTTTAAATTCTACAGCAGTTATTTTCAGATTATCGATGTTCCAGAATATATTCTTCAAAACAAATACATCATAACTGTTGAAATATTAGGAAAAAAATATTTCGATTATATACAATGGTTTAGATAAAAAAAAATATGTAAATCTGTAATAAATAAATAAATAATATTATGAAAAGACCACATTTAAAAGTAACAGCGTACATTTCACCACTTTAAAATCAGGGCGACGACATAAATATTGTAATAGGCTTATGATATTTACAAATAGCATTGTACTAATGACTGTGGACACATTGCCTTGTAATGGTTTCAAACTTGTTAAGATATTGACTATATTCTTAGACAATAACACTGAATATAAAACATTTCAAAAATATAATTAGGGCCTAAACATATTATATGGCCTTAACGAAAAATAATAAAATATTCTCATCATATTTCATTAAATTGGTCAACAATAGTGCATATATATTATATGGACGAAATATACATATATACTTTATATTTTACAACAAAACCTATAAACTTTGGTCTAGACGTTCCCAATAATGATAGACGGCCTGAACTCTGACCTACGATGTCGCAGCTGTGGGCAGTTTAGACCTATAGCTCGTGGTCACGTCACAAGTCATGACTTCGGACCGGTGACGTGGTTAAGAGCCATTGGTCTAAACTGTCCACATTTAACGATGTCACAGGTCAGTGTTCAGGCCTTCCATAATGGTATATTTTGGAAGGTAGGATAGATAAAATTTTTAGTAGCAAAAAATTTGAAACAAACAAATAAAAAACTTTTTCAAATACAAAGCTTCTCTAAGGGAAACAAGCTGCTAATTACTGTCATTTATCTGAAAATGTCAGGGTTTAGCTTCCTTTTATTGCCATATAAAACAAAATTAATTAATTAGTACTAATGGATTAAATAACTGGTTTGTTTTAATTGATTCGTGTATTGTCGTCGACTATGAATAGTTATGCATAATTTCAACTTGATTCCAGAATAGATAGTGGGAGAAAAAAACATGTCGAAACGTAAAAAGGGAGATTAAATTCATAAGTACATTCACATCTCTCAATAAATAGCAGTTATTTCCTCTTATTTCGATATCAAACACAATTATTCATCACCAATAATTAATTAATTAGATTCATCTTTCATTCTTGTTTTTGTCAGGTGCAATGGATAATCGTGAAACATGTTAACGTGATCTAAATATGACGTAAGGACGTAATCATCTTTTTTTAAGTTACGTCTGTATCATATAAGATGAGATGTGTAAAATATATATTCACTTTTTACCAGACAAACAGAATGACATTCAGACAGACATACATAGTGAGCTAATATAAGCTTTGTAAAAAAGGAACATAAATTAGTTAACAACAATAAAAAATATTTCTCTCTCTTTTTATATATATAGGTCCTAAAAGACTCTTTGCCATTCGGGTTTTTTTTTCAGTACAATAAAAATATACATAGGAACTTCAGTACAGATTTTTTAATAATTAACTGATGTTGCATATTGTCAATTTTTAACAGTAAAACAAAACAATCTTAAGAACTCAAAATTGAGCTTAACTTTTATCAGCTATATAAAAACAAATTGAGCTTCAGCCAAAGCAGATTTAAAAAAATGTTTTGCGGTGCCAAAAAGGGAGGAAAAAAAAACAAAATATCGTAAAAAAAAAACCACCAACAACACATTGTTATAAATCTATCATGCACACCGCCATCCAAGCTAGTGAAGGCGGTGCGCACTATCAGACATGTCTAGTAAGGATGTTGGCATTAGGAAAGAGGAGAACGATTTCCTCCCAAGTCAGAGCTGATAAAGATGCTGTGCTCAAGACAGATGTTGTTCTACATGTATTGATGTCGTCATGTAAATAAACATCTATATCTCGTTGAGTTGCCTCCCTTCAGTTATTGCAATATTATTTCCCTTTTTCTATTTATTGGATGCACGAACAGCTAACTATATATAGATATTCCACAATTAATGAAAATATGTGTCTAGGTAATACAGATTTATATATAGATATATATAGATTCAGGACCAAAGATGAACTATAAAAAAAGGATTTTAGGTTTGTTCATTTTCAACCAGTTACATTCTAATAAAAAATCACACAGCAAATATTCTCCAAACTACCAAATTTAACAGCATAATCTTCATCTCTGATACAAATATGTATCTCAGTTTGACCGAAGCCCTCAGCCCTTTCTTGACCATCAGCAACTGCCTTTGGGTTTGAACACATATAGCCTTTTATAAATGAGACGCCTTTTAGGAGCATTTGTTTGACTTTGAGGTCATCATACCGAGCACGACAAAGGCTGACGATTCGTTGCCACTTTTCTTCATCCTGAGTCAGATCGAGTCCATTTTCCTTGCTAACATCCAACAAATCTTTTTTAACTTTGAACACTAGCACAGCACTGTGTTTCCCTCTTGCTGCGTCACTCCATTTCTTGGCACCTCCAAGTGTCTCAGACACATAGAATCCATCACCACTGGAGAAATCTTGACCAGTTTTGCCGGATCCTAGTGTTATTCCTGATGTAAGTATTGACTTAGCATCAGCATGTGTTGTACCATGATATAACAGTACACTTTCTCTATCCTCTTCCTGCACTTTTGTCAAATAATCTTCGATAACTACAGAATTTTCAGTGGTGCAGTTAAGCATTCTAACTAGAAATGATGGAATGTTCTCATTGGGCTCTTCTCTGTTGCCTGTTGGAATTTCTTCTTGAAACCATTCATCCTTTTTATCCCCTGAATATGGATATCTTGTAGCATTGTCTAACAGTGGGTGGTGCAGAAATACATTATTCAAATATCTTTCTGCCCAATAAGAAGGCGTCTGAAGGTCTATCAGCTCAGATGGGATGTTTTTTGTAATAGCATCAGCGCGTTTTAGTGTAAACCCTAGGCTGACTAAATTCTGACACAATCCTTCAGCGCCCTTATCATTGGGATCGTATTCAAGATCCTTTTCTCTTTCTTCCAGAAACCTAACTATGTAATATAAATCATCATGATGTGCTCTTTTATTGTCATCAAGCTTGTCCAGAAAATGTTGATAGTCATCATTCAAGCCTAAAAGTGCGCATAAAATATTTGCATCTGATGTCATAAAATCATCTTTATAATCTGCAAATGTTGAGTGTAATTCCTTCAGCTTGAGTTGTTTCTTTACAGCACAGATTTTTGCTTTTTGTTCCTTGAGATCCTCTAAACTTGGAAGGTTAAGTCCATCCAGCAGCAATCCTGCTGTGCTGAATGTATAATATTCAATGATTTTATCAACTACTGCTAAGAAGCCATCAATTCCATTTTTTAATTCCAATAGTCTTCTGGTTTTCCTTGATAAGTCTGAGTTGCTCTGAAAAAGAAGAAATAAAGTAGAAATTGGAAGAAAAAGAGATAATGGAAAATAAAGAAGATGAAACTGACTACTCTCAATAAAAGACATTTTTATATAACTTTAAGAGCAACCAGCATTTGAGTTAGAGACTTTGTAATAAATCTCCCAAAACAATTAGATCAATTAGATACTCATTATAAGACATCAGTTAAGTCAGGTTCACATCTAACTTAACATTCACTTTCACCTGTCCATTGGTCTGCTGGACCATTGGGGCATCACACAAGATCTGTCAGCCTTCTATCTCCATTCTTCTCTGTCATTTGCTTTTAATAGAATTTTATTATGATATTCTTTCTTAAAATATTAAAATCTGCCTTTTTATCTGCCTGGGTGGACCTCTCAGGGGGCCGATTTTGAGTTTGTATTTCCACACAAACTGTCTTTGTAAACTTATTTATGTTCTGTAGAATTACTTAACCCTTTCTCTCCCAACTGACGATACCAGCGTTGATTCCACTAGAATGTGGTAAATAATTACGGAAAGAGCTAACCCGTTTTATTACCTGAATATCTTGTGTATAGGGCTTTGGAAATAACAATTGATGTGCGGAGTTGATATATTGAAATTTTCTAGAAACCAGATTGATTGGTGACTATTAGTGAGATTTATTTTTTCGGTTTGAGATTACAGCGACTCTGCCAAATTAAACTGACCCGGGTAAACGTCCGTTCTAAGCTGGTCTTAGAATCCATGTGTGTTTACCCAGTTTGGTTAGATCAGCGGTTCTCAACCTTTTAAGCTCGGCGACCCCTTTTTACAATCCCCCACTCTAGAGCGACCCCCCGCTCACACACACAGCAATAGAAGAATATACTTTTTCGATGGTCTTTGGCGACCCCTGGCAAATCGTCAATCGACCCCAAGGGGGTCGCGACCCACAGGTTGAGAACCACTGGGTTAGATCAATGGGAATTAGGCTACTTGTAGAATCTGTGTGTCCGAAATCTCTTAACATGAGTCTTGTTTCATGATACATTGTTAATTAATGTAATTAAATGACACTTTCATTATAATAGTAATATATTAACCGATATATTATTTTTATACATAGGCATCAAATATTTTCATAGGCGAAAAGGCTGTCTTTACCGAAACTGAAGGGTGCAATATTGTGTTTCGAAACCAAAAGTGTCATGTTTAAAGCTTTCATAGTAGTTTGTATAATGTAGATGCTTGCAAAGTTTTCCGAAGCATTGAGGAACAAATCCTCGTTTATGACCTATTAGATAATCATTATAAGACATCAGCTAGGCCATGTTCACATATAACTTCACATTTCACTATTGTTAACCCCACCCGATATTTAGTTTTTCCAAGTGTATGAACAGTATGACTTTATGGGAGTTAAACCCTAAGGTAATCTGCATAATGGATGCATAACAGTTATATGATATAATGATAATGTTATGCTTTCAAATGACCCGAGAGTAAATACTCGAATTACATGAGAAATAGCCTTTTGCAATAAAATGCACATACATTGCACATATGTGCTTAAAATTTAAAAAAAAAAAAAGATTATATTTTCTGAATGTCATAAACTTCTTTTATTTTAATACGAACGCTACTGGACCAAGTATTTTTAGATGCCAAGGTAAACAGACTAGCAATGATAGCATTTTTGAATTAACAGAACACTCTCTTTGTCATAAGGTACTGTCTTTACAGAAACTGAAGGAAGTAATATTGTGTTTCGAAACCAAAATGTCATGCTAAAAACTTTCATGGTAGTTTGTATAATGTAGATGCTTGCAAAGGTTTCCAAAATATTGAGGAACAAATCCTTGCTTATGAGAACTAAGCTAGTTTACGAAGATTACAGTGACTGTATGATTTATTTACTTTTTCAATAAAAAAAACTTAATTACCATCTTAACTGGTTACCCTTTTTTTATTACGTGTATTGTTAGATAAAAAAACAACAATTGTGTAAAGTTTCAATTTGATCATAGAATGGGAAGTGGGAGAAATCACGTGTACAAAATTGTACCATGCAGAAAGAGGGGGTATATACTTTAAAAAAAAAACACATAAAAAATGGTTTACCATTGACTCTCCGTGGGCTTGGAAATATTTTGTCAAAACATTTCTTAGTCTCTCCGTGTAAGATGCTGCTATTTCCAATGTTAGCAAAGCTTCTTCATTGATAGATGGTCTGATTATTGTCTGAATGGAGGCCATTTGTGTTACTTTTATAAAAGGAAAGTCATAGTGAATAATAATATTGAGATGTAGGATGCGATCCTGAGGATATATATTTAAACGTTGATCAGTTATGTTCTGGATCGTTTTGCAGTATGTTTTCAAAATGGGTGTCACTTGTTTCAAGTAAAAGTCAGCAGCGCCCCGAAAAGAGACAGCCATTTAGAAGATTGCCTTTAAGTAAAAAGAAAAAGGTTTTAATTTATAATTAATGAATAGATTTACAA